AATGGTAATGGTTAAACAAATTTCTAATATGTCATGCCAGGAATTTTATAAATATCTTAATAACGACGGTAAACGTTTAGTTTTATTATTTATATCTAAAATAAAATATAATTAACATTATAAATATTTAATTTTCCATATTTTTTTTATATTAAATAAATTTTATTTATATATTTTTATAAAATAAATATATTTTTTACATTGTAAATCAAAAACAGAGAGCATTCCTATCTCCTCAAACAAGACATCAATGTCTATCGGTATTTTTAAAATATTTGAACATTTTATATAGTTTTAGCAATGGCGCCATAAAATTTATTGTCAATTTTAACTGTAAAGATGAACACATCTGCAGCGTAATTTTGTGAATCTTTGTTAAGATTCTTCTGATTGCAACTGCACATTAACATCATGTAGTAGATTTCCTACATGTGAAATCATTCCTAAATATACCTCTGTCATTCATTATTGAAAAAAATTTTCAAAATGTTAGGACAGCTTTTATAATCTTTATTTAAGAAATATTTTTTTAAAGGTTTATAAAATTTTAAAATTCTATCTATGGCGGGTATTATAACATATCGCAACCAACATTGTGCTGACTCAATTCTTTAAATACACTCTGGTTTTTCCCAAATTCACTGAAGCATTATCAGATCAGAAAGCTGACATGCAATTAATTGATAATCCCGAATCTGCTATATTTACCATTATATGGTTAGCTATGACTTTGGAATTTTCACTATTTGAGGGGAAAAAATTTAATAGTTTTATTTAAACGACCTTAATTTTGTTGAAATAGCGGAGGATCAAGAATATTTCCCTTATTAGATGCATCTGTTAGAATTGCATATGTATGCCCATATTTCAAATCGTCAAGAATTGACCTCCCGGATTCAGGTTCTAAAACATTGATGATATTCCTGCTCATTTTTGTTCTACAGGTAAAGTTTTCATTTATCTTGGAGTCATTAAATATTATGGGGAAACGATTCTACCCATATTGCAATGATAAGTAGCTCTGTGAATGTTGTACTACAAGATAAGTGATTACAATTGCCGCAACTGTAGATGCATCTGTATTATTTCTTATTTTTGGAGAATATTTTTGTTTTGCAATGGATGTTGATACACCCCCCACTGATTATAATAATGTCATTGAACTTTAGTAAATAAAATAATTATCATTGAAATGAGTACAATATTACCTTATTATATATTTAAACGTGATACGTGATAATTAAGAGCCTATCCCTATAAGGTTATACACACACATACACGGTAGATTAGATTTCCAATTGCGGTCCTTTTGCGGGACATTCGCCTAAAATATATTTTTACATTGTAAAATTAAATCGTTTGTTTTTTTATAAAATTTTATCGTTTACATTCTTTTATATTTAAAAAATATCTTTGGTTTTTTTAAATAAATTAATATATTTTAATAAATCAAGATGTTATTTTATTTTGAAAAATAGTTACCGACTTTGTATTTATATACTGTGTTGTGATGATTTGATGAAACATATTGACGATTAAATTAAAACCCATTCATATAAATCTTTGCAAAAATAATTAAAATATAGACAAAGAATTATTGAAATTTCTTTTATTATTCCTTTTGATATTTTAGCAAATATTATAATTTTATATGAATGGGTTTGAATTTAATCGTCAATATGTTTCATTAAATCATCACAACACAATTATAAAAAATAATAGGCGGATTGTTAAGTCAATTCAAAATCCCGGCTGAAAAAAAATTCTTTTTAGCAATTTTTATATTTCTCCTCCAAAATACCAAATTTCTCCCGCAATTTGAAAATTTTGACCTGGCAACCTTGACTAGGGATCGTGAGGCCTTATAAAATCTACCAAGAACGCAAAATAAAGTTAGCCATATATATATATATAAATGCATAAATGTTCTTATATATTTTTATATTTTAGAATACATCTATTTTAGCTTCTGATGATATTCCCACTATTTCTAGGGAGTTTAACCTTATATTGACTCCTCTTCAGGTTCAATGCATTTATATTTTTTAAATTATTCTTTTGTTTTTATTTTAGATAACAAACCCTGTCTTAACCTCATTTAATGATTGTACAGATGGTGATTTATCCATCATTAATGAAAGAAAATGATGGCAGGTCAATCAACAAAAGAATAGCTATAGGAATTGTGAATACCAGCAAAATATACTAACAACACATAAAAAAGTTAGTGTATATATATATATATACTAAAAAGGCATAAATGTTCTTATATTTTTTTATTTTTTAGAATACATATATTTTAGCTTCTGCTGATATTCGCACTATTTCTAGGGAGTTGATCCTAATCTTGACTCCTCTGCAAGTTTAACGCATTCATTTTTTTAAATTTTTTTATTTGTTTTTACTTTAGATAACAAACCCTGCTTTATTTTCTCCTTATAATTGTTTAAATATTGATATATCTACCATTAATAATCATACAAAATAAATGTTCAGAAAAACATGATAGTCTTGATAAGTCTCCAACTAGATAAATTTTATTTTTTGATGATAGCCTCCCAACTACTAGAGATATGCATATATTGACCCCTTTGCAAGTTCAGTACAGTATTTTAATGTTTGTTTTATTTCAATAATAATGTTTTATATATTTGCCTGATTTCCTTATTTTTTTAGGTTAACCCAAACTTGATCCCTTACATAGCTACAAAACATGATATTTCTAAAAGGTAAGCAAAGAAAAAAATGGCGACTCAACAAACGCCTTACACATTCTAGAATTACAGGTATGCAGGATAATAAGGATCTACGCCTGATATTAACTCCCCTGCAGGTTTTTAATGTTTTATATATAGGTTTATTTTATATTCACCCAGATACCTTCAACTGATATTTCTATAACCACTACCACCTTCCCTATGGCACCTCTACCATGCATATTTCGACATATATTTGATGACCACCACTCACCTATATTAGATATCGGAAACATGACAGAAATATGCGCCTTCTGCAATGCTAAAATGTGGAATGGAGAAAAATTATCAAAAAGCTCATGTAGAAATATTCAGTTTTCTACATGTTGCTTGAATGGGAAGGTAATTTTATTTAAAATTTCTCAATTACCACCAAATTTATTACGTTTATTTACCGGGGATCATTGTTCATCATCCCACATTTTAATAAACATAAGAGCATATAATTCTCCACTGTCATTCACTTCACTAGTAGTTAATATAAATAATAATTTATCCAATTCGTGATCAGGTAATTATACCTTTCAAATTAATGGACAGGTTCATCATCGCATTGATTCACTCCTACCAACATTAGGGGAAACACCTAAATTTGCCCAATTATATATACATAATACGCCTAGCGACATTTTATCACACGACACTTTATCATGCGACACTTTATCATGCGACACTTTTTCATGACGACACTTTATCACGACGACACTTTATCACGACGACACTTTATCATGACGACACTTTATCACGACGACAATTTATCACGACGACACTTTATCACTCAGCCATTTGATAACGCGACACTTTATCACGCGACATTTTATCATGATATACTTAAAACTTAATTTATTATAATTGAAAAGTTAAATTTTGATAATATCTCATTTTTTGACTTTCATCATGATATACTTAAAACTTAATTTTATATATTTGAAAAGTTAAATTTTGATAATATCTCATTTTTTGACTTTCATCATTACTTAAAACTTAATTTTATATATTTGATAAGTTAAATTTTGATAATATCTCATTTTTTGACTTTTCCATCTAAATTCCAATATTTAAAAATTTAAATTAATTTTTTATGTTAACGCGACACTTTATCATGATATACTTAAAACTTAATTTAATATATTTGAAAAAATAAAATTATGATAATATCTCATTTTTTGACTTTTCCGTCTAAATTTCAATATTTAAAAAATTTAAATTAATTTTTTTTTGTTAACGCCACACTTTATCATGATATACTTAAAACTTAATTTAATATTTGAAAAAATAAAATTTTGTTAATATCTCATTTTTTGACTTTTCTGTCTAAATTTCAATATTTAAAAAATTTAAATTAATTTTTTTTGTATTTCATATTTTAATTTACATAAATATAATTTTTTTAAACTTAATTATCATCTTATATAGGGAAACAGGAGACATAAGCAATAATTTTCTATTTATACTTTTTATTAATAAGTAACTATAAATCAATAAAACACTACACTTAAATTAATGTGTTTATCTATTGATATTTTTTAAGCTAATCGTTTTTTCACAAAGATTTATAATTTGTACAAATTCAGGTTTTGTATTTACCCATAAATATAATAATATTTTTTTTTCTATATATACCTCAATTTTCTATATTATTATATATTAAAGAATATTTTTTTTATTAATTATAATGTTTGAATTAAGATTTACATCGAAAAATAAACCTACCCTTTTATATCAAAATTACGAATATACTAAATTTAGGACAAATAAAAATGAATCAATATGCTGGAGATGCGCCAAATATAAATCTCTAAAATGCCATTCTTTTATTACAACAAAATTGAATGATATCTTAAAAGGTCCTCTTGATCATACTCATGAGGGTAACATTTCAAAATCTTATGTAGGAAAAGCAATATCAGAAATGAAATCCAAATTAAGTGAATATTCTAGTCCTTCTTTGGTCCATGCAACAACATTGTTAAATTATGATAATAATACCTTGATGGTTATGCCAAATAAGTCTGCCCTTCCTTACAAAGGCATAAAAAATCGATCTCTACCATTATATTGCCTCCTATCCCTAAGGATCTCACTTTCTTATATCCGGAATGTTACAGGGATATGCTCAAATACGATTCTGGGCCAGATGATAATTTAAGATTTATAATGTTGAGCACGGACGAACTACTCGAAGGATTATCAAGATCGGATATATGGATATGTGATGGTACCTTTAAAATTGTACCTGAAATATTCTTCCAACTTTATATACCATCCACTTTCAAATTGCACCGGGCGCGAATCCTGTTGGTATATATTGCTTATTACCAAATAAAACGGCGCATACATATGCAAGGATGATAAAAGTAATCATATTATATATTTTAAGAGATGTAATTTAAATTTTATTATAGGAGCTGAAACAATTACTACCAGGGGCGCTTCCGAGGAAAATATTGGTGGATTTCGAACAGGCACCGATAAATGCGTTTAGAGCTGGGTATCCACTCGCAGATATCCTTGGATGTTATTTTCATCTAAATGAGAGCGTTAATAGAAAAATAAACGATTTGGGATTAAAAGAGATGTATGAGTCGAATGACGACTTTCGATTGTATAGTAGGTGTTTATCGGCTCTTGCATATGTCCCAGAGGATGATGTTGGAAACTCATTTGATACTTTGGCAGAAATATTTGGTGAATTGAATGGCTCATCTGAGCTAATTTCCTACTTTGAGAAAACCTATATCCGAGGACGTAGAAATCCCAGTAAAAAAATATTTTTTTTATTATAAATTTTTATATTTATAGGGCAACGAAATAACTTTGCAGCGCCTTTATATAATGTAAGACTATGGAATAAACACAATTCCACGTTAGTAGGTGTCGCCCGAACAACAAATTGTGTTGAAGGGTGGCACTATGGAATTCAATCCCTATACCAATGTTCTCATCCAACACTATGGAAATTTTTAGATGGGATACAAAAAGATATGCAGAAACATAAAGCTCTATATCTTCAAGTCGTGATGGGAACAACACCGTACTTATCAAAGAAATATGAAGATATAAAAAGACGAATTCAGATTTGTGTTTCAAATTACGGATTGTCGGATTCTTTAATATATTTAAAAGCTATTTCCCATATTTCGTGCAATTAAATATATTATAAATAATTTATATTTTTTACTCGTGATATATTGATTTATAGTTACTTATTAATAAAAAGTATAAATAGAAAATTATTGCTTGTCTCCTATTTCCCTATATAAGATGATAATTAAGTTAAAAAAAATTATATTTATGTAAATTAAAATATGAGTTTTTCTCAATAAAAAAAATTAATTTAAATTTTTTAAATATTGGAATTTAGACGGAAAAGTCAAAAAATGAGATATTATCAAAATTTAACTTTTCAATTATATTAAATTAAGTTTTAAGTATATCATGATAAAATGTCGCGTGATAAAGTGTCGCGTTATCAAATGACTGAGTAATAAAGTGTCGTCGTGATAAAGTGTCGTCGTGATAAAGTGTCGTCGTGATAAAGTGTCGTCGTGATAAAGTGTCGTCATGATAAAGTGTCGTCGTGATAAAGTGTCGTCGTGATAAAGTGTCGTCGTGATAAAGTGTCGTCGTGATAAAGTGTCGCATGATAAAGTGTCGCGTGATAAAGTGTCGCGTGATAAAGTGTTGCGTGATAAAGTGTCGCTTGATAAAGTGTCGCGTGATAAAGTGTCGCGTGATAAAGTGACTCCAAATCACATAATAGTATAAATGAGATAGAAAACAGACATAACCAGGTTCCGTTTTTAGATCGTTGTCTTTTAATGGAATTGCAGGATATTGTTCACACCTACAACCCCTTTGCTTCTCAATTTTTGAGAGTATCTTCTATGATCGCTAATGGCGTTCCTAACATATCCTTAAACTTAAAATCTACTCCAAGTTTTGACATACGTTATCGCAATAAACCTACCTCATTTGAAATAGCAGTATTATTACCTGGTGATGGCAGTGATCATATAGCTCATAGAGATATTATCTTAAAAACTATATCTGTTCCTTTAAGACGTAGAGCTCCATTCCTCATACGATCCCTTGCAATATGTTCTTTAATAAATATGTTACCTGCAGAGAGTACTATGCCTATCGCTTTATGGTCAGGCAGGATGATGAGAATGTTATTTTAAGATCCAAACGTCTTTTTCACCAATTTTTCGTCGACAGTTATGCCAAACAGGAAACGCTTCGATTAAATTTTATACGTAATAATCAATCCAAATTACGCGTCGAACTCTATCAAGGCATACATGATGCTATTTTAGAGGGAGATACTAATGCTGACAATCTTGGCAGAAGAATAATTTTGCCTTCTTCTTTTACCGGTGGCCCAAGGCATATGCATCAGCTTTATCAGGACGCAATGGATATTGTACGCTGCTTTGGTAAGCCATCATTATTCATTAATTTCACCTGCAACCCTAAATGGGATGATATAATGCGTGAATTATTTCCTCATCAGACCCCAAGCGACCGCCCAGATTTAGTTTGTAGCCTTTTTCGTCAAAAATTAAAATGTCTAAAAAAGGATTTGCTCTATTATCGTGTTCTTGGCGGAGTAATCGCTCATATAGATGTCATAGAATTCCAGAAAAGAGGTTTGCCTCATTGTCATATGTACCTTATACTAGATAAATCTCATAGGCTACCAACGGCTGATACTTATGATGAGGTAGTTTGTGCTGAGATTCCTAACAAAATAACTGAGCCTAAGCTCTTTCAAATTATTAGCAATTTTAATACACATGGGCTATGTGGTATAACATTTCTTAATAGTCCCTGCATGATTGATGGAAAATGCTCAAAAAATATCCTAAATCATTTGTGGATACCTCTTCTATTGATCAGTATGATTATCCTTTATATCGGCGACGAAATTATGGCGTTACCTTCCAAAAAAAATTAAACGGATTTATATTTAACAACCGTTGGATTATTCCTTATAATAAACATTTATCAAAAAAATATAATGCACATATAAATGTAGAAATTTGTTCTTCTGTCCAGTCCATAAAATACCTTTATAAGTATTGTTACAAAGGCCATGATAGAACTACTGCATCTCTTTCCATTAATAATGTCAATGAAACTACCCAGTTCATTGATGCCGATATATATCTGCCATAGAATCGCTATGGCGTACTCTGGATTTTGAAATGCAGGATCATTCTCCTGCAGTCTATCGTTTAGACCTTCATCTACCTAATCAACATTTGATCCTTTTTCAATCAAATACTGATTTAAATAATATCTTAACTAAAAATCTTGGTACAAAATTAACCGAATGGTTTAAAATTAATGATCTTGACACAGATGCCAGACAATATATTTATGCAGATTTTGTAAGATATTATGTGTGGAAACCTCTATCTAAACAGTGCATAAAAAGACAAAGGGGTGGTGATAAGGTTATTGGCTGTACACGCACAGTTTTTCCTAAAGAGGGTGAGGTTTTTATTTAAGACTATTACTTAATTATGTAGCTGGGCCAACATGCTTTGAAGATCTACGCTCTTTTAATGGAATTGTCAATAATACTTTTAAAGATGCTTTTCGAAGTGGTCTGTTATCAAATGATGCGGAATGGAACCATTGTTTAGAGGAAGGTCTTTCATTTAAGATGCCATATCAATTGCGCCAGTTATTTTCTGTTATTTTATTACATTGTGAGCCGAGAGATCCTCGGTCTATGGAATTCTTTTAAATTTCATCTTTGTGAAGATTTTTCCAAGAAAATATCATCAGAGCCGGATAACCTTATCAACGAAAATCTCGCGCTATGCCACATCAATCAAATTTTGATTCAAAATGGTAAATCTCTTAAGGATTTTTTAAGAATGCCTATCCCTTTATTATCCACTCAATCTCCATCTGCTACAGCTAATATTAGGTGTCACCTTATTCGGGAGGAAATTTCCTACGATACTGATGATATGTATAAAAAATATTTGGCTAACTATAATTTATTTAATCGGGATCAAAATATTATCTATACCATAATTATGTCCTTGCCCTCCACTCCATCCCATAATTTATTTTTTATAGATGGTCCTGGTGGTACTGGAAAATCATTTCTATTAAATACAATATTATTTAACTTGAGAGCTCAAGATAAAATTGCAATAGCTGTTGCATCTTCTGGCATTGCTTCAACTCTTCTTCATAATGGCCGTACTGCACATTCACGTTTTAACATCCCTTTAAGTATTCATGAAAGTTCCTCATGTAATATTCCATACCAAAGCCAAATAGCTGAATTGATAAATCGGTAATTATAATATGGGACGAAATATCAATGACTCATAAACATATATTCGAGGTCGTGGATAGGTCATTTCAGGATACATAATGAAATTAGACAAACCGTTTGGTGGTAAAATTATTACTTTTGGCGGAGATTTTAGACAGATTTTACCTGTTTTTAAACGTAGTAGAAGATGCAACATTGTTAACTCACTCAACCTTAAAACGATCCTATTTATGGTCGCATATAGTGCCATTAAAGTTAGTTATTAATATGAGACTTCTACAATTTCACGAAGCAAATGATTATTTTATTAATAATAAATACTCAAAATTTCTTTTAAGAGTTGGTGAAGGCTATGAAACATTTGATGGCTCCAGGGATAAAATAAAAATTCCTGAAGATTGTTGTATAGCTTCCAATGATATGGAGGATTTTATTGCTTTTGTTTACGTACGATATAGACAAAGACAATACGTCCTTTAACCGAACATCATTTGCTCAAAATGAAATCCTGACCCCTAAAAACGTAGATGTCGATTCTATAAATATTAAATTGATTAACAAAATTCCGGGGGATATTATTACATACATAAGTGCTGATGAAATGATAACCGAGGATGAAGCGACGTTTTATCCCACTGAATTTTTAAACTCTTAAGTATATCAGGATTACCACTCACAAACTTTTTCTCAAAGTCGGGGTACCTATAATATTAATTAGTAACTTAAATTCTGCTCTGGTTTGAATAATAGGATTAAATTGATTATAACTTCTTTGCTACCAACTATAATTGAGGCGGAATTTGTTTCTGGTAGTTTTTTCAGTACTAAAGTTCTCATTCCTAGAATAAGTTTAATTCCTACAGATTCTGGCTTGCCATTTTCCTTTAAGCGCCGCCAATTTCCCGTGAGACCTGCTTTTGTCATGACAGTTAATAAAGCTCAGGGACAAACGATGAGTTGGCATCTATTACCTCATCCTGTTTTTTCACATGGACAGCTATATGTGGCTATGTCTCGAGTTTGTTCTCCTCATAAATTAAAGATTATAACCAATGATAAAACAAGAACTACAACCAATGTGGTATATCATAAGGTTATATCCGATTAATCCCGGTTTATACGAATAAGAATGAACATTACTTAGTATGATATTATTTTATATTTTAAACAATTTTATATTATTTAAGCATCCTTTTGTCGGGCCGCACAATATGCCCTTTTATCTCCGATGAATATTTTGTCTAACTAACTAAAAATTATACAAAGTTCATTTTTAATATTTAACTAAATTAATATAACAATTTTTAAGGATCCTATTTTTTTAAAAGTATACCATTTTGTCTGATCCACTACTGCTCTATTATCCTTGGTGAACCCTGTTTTTTCACATGGACAGCTATATGTGGCTATGTTTCGAGTTTGTTCTCCTCATAAATTAAAGATTATAACCAATTATAAAACAAGAACTACAACCAATGTGGTATATCATGAGGTTATATCCGATTAATCCCGGTTTATACGAATAAGAATGAACATCACTTTGTATAATATTATTTTATAATTTAAACAATTTTATATTATTTAAGCATCCTTTTGTCGGGCCGCACAATATGCCCTTTTATCTCTGATGAATATTTTGTCTAATTGAAAAATATACAAAGTACATTTTTAAAATTTAACTAAATTAATATAACAATTTTTAAGGATCCTACTTTTTTAAAAGCTTACCATTTTGTCGGATCTACCATTGCTCTATTATCCCTGCTGATTATTTTGTATAACGTACAAAAAATATACATAGTTCATTATTTTTATTATAAATAATTTTATATATGATTTAATATCTAT